AACATTCTTTGCATTTGAATTTGATTTTGACTCAAGTTTGTAAAGTGCAATGAAAGTTTTTATAGCTAGGGGGCTTTTAATTAGATTGAATGGTATTTGCTTATGGCATCTTATTTAATGTAGTTTAATGTATTAGAATTAGAAATATATATAAGTTGTAATTGTAACAAATTTATAATAAAATATATAAAAAAATTAGATATATATATAAGTTGTAATTGTAACAAATTTATAATAAAATAATAAATATATAAATATATTTGTATGTAATTAATATAAAAAAAATTTAAAAAAAAATATATATATATAAACAGACATAGACATATCTATTTATATATATATATATATCTTTTTTTATATATATATTTTTTTATATAAATTTATATTTATATATATATATTTTTTAATATATATTTATATATATATTTTCTTTTAATTGATATATATACATATTTTTTTAATTATACATTTTTTCACTTTTGTATATTTTTAATAATATATATTTTTTTTAGCTCACATATATTAAATATTATTTAGGTTCGTCTTTGCCATAGAACTGAACCAAAATTTAACCAGTTCTAACTTTTTTATAGCTTGTATTATTTGAAGGCTATGAGATACAACAAAAAGCTAACAACACTCAGCGATTTTTCCTGTGCATTAATTGGACAGGAAGCAATCAAAGCGATAAGTCGTGTATTAACTGGGTCGGGAACACGCACAGAGTGTGTGTATGTTGCATGCAATGTGTGCGTGTGTGTGTGTGTGTGTTGCATCTCACAACATCTAAATGAGCTGTCGTCTAAGCGGCGCGGGCGCGGGTTGTAGGTGGGGCTTAAAATCAAATTAAGGGGACCGAAGGGCAATGTAGTGACCCTCGAGACCGCGATGCAGCAATTAGCTGATAAAACTGGTTTTGGCCAGAACTTGAATTGACATACAGGTGTTGCCAACTGTTCTTGTTGATGTGGTTGCTGCTGTTGTTGTTGTGGTTGCTTTTGTTGCCGTTGCAAATGCAACAAAATTGAAATGAAACCAACACTAAAAAATGGTGAAAAAATTTAAAAAAGAAGCAACTAAAAAAAATGAAGAAAAATGCAGCATAAACTTCTAAAAAAATGCCAACTAATTAAAAAAAATATATGTATATTAAAAATATTGCAGTTGAATGTGAACGACTTCATGCTACTCACTAGCAGCATAAAATTAAGTAAATTTAATTAAAAAATTTAATTTTTAGGAAACTAAAGCAACTAAAGTTTGTTTTTCTTATATATGTATAAGTTTATTAATTTTTTTTTAAATTAATAATTATTTGTTGCTTCCAACTTCCAACTCTAAGTCTTAAACTATAGGTAAATTATTTAAATATAATTAACTAAATATAAGATATAAGCTATATTTGTAATTTCTAAATTTTGTGAATAAGATCATTAATTGTTTATTTTATAAGCTCAGCTTGTTTCCATGCATCAATTCATTTTATGTTTTAATATGTAAAAACTGTTTTACAATATAGAAATACTAATGTATTTCTTATATTTCTACCTAAATTTAAACAAACATTACATAAAACCTATATACCCAATATATTTCTTCACAAAAGAGTAAACTAAAAAATATACAAAAAAAAAAATAAAAGCTGGCAGCAGCATTTGTAATGAAAGCATTTCCAGCAATTTAAAAAAGCCGTTGAACCGGTTTTATATCATATATCACAAGGCTTAAAGAAACAAAATAAAAAAAAAAAAAAAACAAAATACAAAATTATAGCATTTGTTAATTTGATTCTTTCATCAACATTTTGTTCCAATCATGGCATACATATAGATAGATAGTGTCGATGTTTTCTATAGATTAGTGAATTTTCCTCTTTTTTGTTTGTTTGTCTTCCATCCGTTTGTTATGTAATACGAATTCTATGAAAACAATGGGGATTTTGAATTAAGTTTATGTGCTGGAAAGCAAGTGCTAAAACAAATTTTTGTTAATTTACAAATTTTAATTTTTGTTAAATGTAAAAGATTGTAAGAATTCGTTGTTATTAGTTTTTTATTAATTATTATTTATTATTTTTATTATTAATTTAATATTATAAACATTTAAAAAATTATAATATAAGTAATCTAGATTGAAATCGTCTGTATATCTATATATAGAGTTATACTTGTCTTCCACTATATTTATTCATATATGTATATAACTAGAATTCCCTTTAGAACTTGTTTTATAATAACTTACCTATAAGAAAAATATATATATTTATTTGTCTTAAGTTTTTATACCCGAAACTTATTCCATGACTTATCTCATTTCCTTACTATCGATAGTAATCGATGATTTAATAGTGTGTTAATATCGCAAGAGCTAAAGATTTTCAGATGCCTGTAATGAAACACAAATCCTCGGATATTGGACAACTCCCTTTTAAAGCTCTTCTGGCTCTACTTTACACTATAGCTTAACACCATATAAACATATATCGATTTTAGTTTGTAATCAATTTAGATTTTAGTATTCTGGCCTAGCCTTGAGTCAGAATGTCAATTATTTAATGGACTCGACTCGGACACATGTTAATAATTATTATTTTTGTACTTGGCGAAAAAAGAACTGGAATTGAAGCCATTAAATAGATTTAATGATAGAGAAAATCGAAGGACAGGCAGAGTGAGCAGTACGAGTGGAAAATGTGCAGGTCATGATACATAGAGATATGCCACAGACAGGTGTGTCGGTAGCAAAGGGTTTTTCGGTAAGGGCTAGGCCAAGTTTAGCATTTGGCATGTCAAAACTACCACTACTACTAACAGTTAAGCCTTAATAATGGCGATCATTAGCTCTTGCCACATATCATTTATTGAGCTCCTAATCAGGTTTATCAATTGAGTAAATCAAACAAATTCAAAGCACATTTAGTGCTAATATCAGTTAAAAACCTTTGAGGCATTACGGGTATTACGAACTAAATTCGTGAATAAATAAATAATTTGAATATATGATTGGTAACTAAATTCATAAATAAATAAGCGCACAAAGGCAATAAATAATTTAAATATACAATCGAATTATTTGAATTAATATAAAAGATAATATATAAAGAGAAATATATTAAGTTCAAATGTAAATAAAATATACATAAATCATCTAAAATATATAAGTAAAATTACATATTTTATATAATATTTTATATACTTTTCACATATACAAATTTTATATAATTTGTATATTATATATATTTTTTTACATTTCAATTTTTGTATATTTTTCTATACTTTTATAGCTGCTTTTCGGCTGGGAAATTCGTGTGTGCTTTCTTTAAAGATAGAGAGTGCTATATATATTTATATAGTTTATTTTATATGCAGAAAGAGAGGAAGTGAGAGAAAGAGAGAGAGAGAGAGAGAGAGATTGGGAAACCTTGAATTAGCTTACAGAACTTTTACAATAACAAAATGTGATGATATGAAATATTCAAGTACAACATTAAATAGATAATGAGGCGCGCTATATATCATATTTGTTTTAGCTCTCTCTATTTATATTTCTCTCTATTTTTTATTCACTATATAGTTGGATACGTGAGTCCGTGTTCCTACTGACATTACAGTTTTTATCTTCGTTTTTTTGTTTCAGAAGCCAACATTTTTGTTTTGCTTTCGTGAGCACAAATAGCAATAGATATATAATTATATATAATAAATATATAAGAATATGTATATGTATATAAAGCTATATGGCATTTGTAATTTTAGTTTTTAAGACTATTTTTTAAATAAACCTTTCATACGTCATTAATTATGAAATTTGATTTTGTTTTGGTCTTTGAACTGTGAAGCTCAGAATAAAGAAGAAAATTTCACAGGTCAGCAAAATGTAGTTATCCAGAATTATATTTGATATGTGTTTATATTTAATTGGCCACAAAAAAATTTTATTTTCTATGATAATTCAAATGCATACATTTAATTTTTTTATCAATTATGAATCATGCACAGAGGCAACATGAAATATTTTTTATATGAGTAATATTAAAGCAAATATCATTTTACATGATTTTATACAAATTCCCAATCTGAATTTTCTTTCCATTTAATTTGATTTACAAATAATAATAATAATAAAATAAGAGAAATAAATAAAATAATATATATAAAATTGTGATAATATTTTTTTATCGTTTGTATATACAAAGAAGTATATATTTTTTTAATGGTTAAAATTTATTATTATAACTTATTTACGTCATTAGAAATGGAGGAATAGATTCATAGTAAAAACCGCAAAACATTAAGAAATCGTGTGTACGTGTGCGTCTACATCTATAATATATTATAGTTTTTAATTTTAATTAACTTGTCTGGCACATATATAATATATATGTCTATATATTTTATCTAGTTTCGAGTTTTATCTGCTCATAAAAGATTCTACATGTGGCAATGACATCTAAAGCTTGTTTTGCATTTCATGTGCTCACATAACTACATGGAGAGAGGAAGAGAGAGACAGAGAGAGTGATTGAGGGAGCGAACAGAAGTAGCTGATAAGCGAGTCATATATTTTATTTGCACTCATTTTCAAATGACCGAATTGCATGTACACATACTTTCACGCTTACATGCATATATGTACAGCATATGTAAATATAAACATTTTACTCATTTTGTTCTTTCGCCTTTTCTTCTTTGTGACTTGGCATTCGATTAACGTAGGGCAAATCTACGTAATCCCATAATAAAGTGTGAGAGAGTGAACTGACAAGAGAGTGGGTTAAGGCTAGGCTTTGACACCATAAATGAACTGAGTACAAAAGGAGAACAGAAGAAGAGCGATTTGCTCTGGGTCCCTTACAAGAACTCCACGCAAAGCTTAGCTTTTAGATTTAGTCAAGTGCTTGTGACGAGAGAGGGCGCTGCACTTTAATTGAACTCCAAGTGTCTTAATTTTTATTTTGTATTTATTTTATTCGTTTTGAATATATATATTAATTAACTTACCCCAACTTTTGCTAGTGCGGCCAAAAATACTACCATCGCGTGGATCGTAGATCATTTCCGAGAAGGTTTGCTTCTTAGCCGGTTGTGGAAATTGATTTTCGTATTTTTCATTTTTACCGTTGTTTTTCGACATTTTTTGGCGCTCTTTTCTTTTCGTTTCTTCTTGCTTTACGTATTCAAGCAGTTATTAGGAATCGTGAGTTTTTTATAAATATAAATGTGTATTTATTCACGTATTTTGATTGCGTTTGCTATTTGTTGCTCACGTGGATAGTGGACGGGGTACGTAAGAATTCGAATAATTATATTTTCAGTAATGCATAAAACACTATTTAGGTACTTATGTGTATTTGCTTTTAATTATTCGCTTCAGAAACCTGCACTTATTTAAAGTTTCTTTTTTTTTAATTTTGCCTTTCTTATAGGTAATTTGTTATTCCAATATTTGCCGTAACGAGAATACAATGTAATGCAAACGCACACACACTTATAAAACACAGCTAACTGTTTGTTACTCGTTTCTCGTTGCGTGCTGCGTGTTGCGCTCTCGGCGAAAGATCACCAACTGAACCACAAAATGTGGTGGCCAAACCGACATCGACATCGACAGCAGCGTCGCTAGCGGGGTCTTCAGTTACTGCGCTGCTCAACACTCACACTTGCAATGCTCGTCTCTCTGTCAACACACATACAAGTGTACCGAAAGCTATATAAGATACGAGTATTCGCGTACAGCCAGCTGTTGAACGCTTTTGACAGCAACAAGAAAAATAACAAAAACAAAAACGGCCAAAACAAAAAGCTTCTTCATATTGGGCGGCTAGTGGGTGGGCGCTTTGCAGGCGTCATCCGAAATTGGTGTTCTGTTGGCAGTTGTTATTGCTTTTGGTAGCGCAGCGAACGCCTCTCGCAGTCTGCCTCTCTCTCTCTCTCTCTCTCTCTCTCTCTCTCTCTCTCTCTCTCTCATTCTGTTCCTGTGTTATGCATCGTGACTGACTGTCTGCAGACAGTGGCCAGACAGCTGCGTTGAAGGGTAAATTGCAGGAGCGCTGCAGCGGAAAACTGAAAACATTTTACTAATGCAAAATTTAAGTATATGTATATATTTTTTATATATATTAAGTGTTTAATGATAATAATATATATTAATGTTAAAAATTATCAAAATAAAAATATTTGAGATATCACGTCAGTTTTCCAAATGCATTTTTGATAATTTTGTTAGTTTATTATATAATACTAATAGTTTTATAAATAAGTAAATTCGATTTCTTAAAAAGTTCGGCTGCGGACTTACATTTATTGTATTAGCTACGCCCCTGGCTTTTTTCTAATGCATAACTGTTGCTTTTTAAATATAAGTGTATTAAAATAAAGCACGCAGAGCGCTATGGCAATACACATAAATTAAGCTCACTCTGCTCTCTTTTTGCACTCTCCCATTCTTCAATGAACACTAATACATTGAAATATAGGGAGAGTACATTGCCTTTTCGGATGTTTAGCTAGGCGCTCGACACTCTCGAATAGCTTGATTTCTATCTTTGTTTTAGTTTGTGTGTGTGTGAGTGTTTTTGAATTTTTTGGGAGCGCCAACATTATGTTGTGTTGTTTGTTTTTATGTTAAAACAAATTTTTTGGGAGCAGTTTCGTTTATCGTAAGCATGCCTCTGTGTGCACGTGTGTGTGTGTAAGCTTTTGTGTTTGCTTTGTTATGCTTCGCTGTACATAAAGAACATAAATGCGAAAATGAAAAACTTTCTTTATGTGTATGCTGCCTGTAAAAATGGGACTTGTTGTTGGTTTTGTTTGCATCAAGGGCTCTTGTATTAGTCATCGGGTCATGTGGAAAGCCGTTGCTAAGTGTCAAAGCAATTTTGAATTATTAATTCGCATAAACGAGCATTTCCGAGTGTAACTCGAGTTCAACTCTCGAGCGTTGCCATTGCAAATAAGTATAAGATTCCACCAACCCCAACGCTAAGCCCCTGTTGTCTGTTGCCCTTGTGGTACGCCCTCCTAGAGAACTCCTACAATCTGATTGCCTTTTGTGGGTGTACGTATGTATGGAGAAACGTTGCAGTCTTTCAATCTTTGCGCTTCATTGTTGTAATCATCATAAATTTATTAAATTATACTTGACAACGCTTTATTCCACCCCAAGTGCCCTACAAAAGCCTGGTATCTCATTAGAGGCGCTTAGCAATTCATTGGGGATAGCTATAAAAAGACATTCTCTTCACTTTTATTAGGAGTTTACGTGTTGTACTAGTAGCACTTGTTGGATTGTTCATAATCTGTTGATTAGATAAAAAGAATTACTTCAATTGGTGGAAAAATGACTAAGGTTAGGAGAAAAATGAAAAGAAAAGTAGATCTTAATATTCTTATATCAATGCTAAATATATAGGTATATTTAATTATATATATATTTTTATATAATACTCATAACCCAGAAATCAATCAATACTTCTAGCCAAGCTGAGACAAGTTTTTTAAAGTTGAAAACCATCACAAATAAGAAGAAAATGTTTATATTAATAAAAAGTCAAAGAAAAATCTACTCAGATTTCATTGCTTACTTCAAGCCAAGGCTTAAAGCAGGCTTCAAGAATCTTCTACCTTTCAGTAGCTTCCAGTGCAGTCACAAGCAAAAATCTGAACTTAAAACTGGCTTGTGTTGACTACCTGCTTAAAGGCCTTCATTTCATAATCTGTCATAAAAGAATTGCCTTGTTGAAACTCAACTTCTACTTGAGCTCGACTTCGACTTAAGTAAATCATAAATAAAAACAAGTATGAAAGCTCTAGTCGGCTTGCCCGACAAGGAGATACTCTGATGCCAGTCTCATCTGAAAATTTTCAATAGTTTGTATCGAGTATTTAAAAAATAAAGAAAACCCAACATTACAACACCAAAACTCGAACCAACATTGCCTACCAGTTCATAATTAAAAAAAAAAAAAAAAAAAACAAAAACAAATGAAAACATGCCTTCGCCTCCTGGGATCGAACCCATACCAACCAACACATACTACCAACACTGCAACTATTGTGGTATCTGACAATTCAAGCCCAGTTGAATCGCAATTCAGATCCTTCGATTAGAAAATAATGCACGCATTTGAACGTATTTGTGCACATGTATAGGAAAAATGCGTACGCTTGGCGCTGCTTGCCACGTGCTTTTGCCAATTGGCCAAACATTTTGTTCAATAACTTTTGTTTTACAGACAGACAGACAAATTGTCAAGGCTCAATCAACTCGGCTTGTCATACTGAACAAGAATTTATATACTTTAAGTTGTCTTCCACGCCTCCTTCTGCCTGTTGCATACATTTAAGAGAACTATTATACCCTGATTTGCCTTTTTCAATGGGATCTGGGCATAATAATAATTACAAAGGCACATTCTTTGTCCGACAACTCGGGAATCGTAGCGTGAGCTTTTTGAAATTTAGCAGATGAAAGAAAAAATAACCGGTTTATCTTGTTCGAACTGAAATTGTTGTGATTTTTCCAGTAGTTGAGGCATTCTTATCGATGGGATGATGCTTCCTCATTAAAGCGAAGTTTTTTGATTTTCCTTGTGTAGAAAAGATTTTTTTTTGCCATTTGCACGTTGTGTACTTTGCTGATTTACAGTCAGCCAAGCGGTTGTATTTTAGCTAATTAGCTGTCAATTAGTACAGTCAAGTCTGGCGATCGGATCACAGAATAACTTTACTATGTATAAGAAACAGAACTGTTGAGTCTCTGTAAGATAAGCTTGAAAGATCAAAAACAACTAACAGAAATAATTAAATGTTTAGTTACGTGAACACTTCATAATAAAGCTTTTAATTTGGAAAAGTTATTTGGATGTTCGAAATTTCAATATAAAATATAAAAACTTAAATTTTATATTTATCAATCAAAAATTACTTTCAGATTTTAATTGATTTTGAAGAAAATTATATAAAATAGCGACAATTTATAGATAATTTCAGAAGCGAAATCTTCGAAATAAACTTCAAAGGTCGAAACTGAAATTTGCTGTTTATCGCTGTCACAGAAATTTGACGATAGTTTTCATAGTTTTCAGCAAACTTCAGCTGCCAGGTAATAAAGAATTTGATATTTTCTGTATTTTGTCGTAATATTTTTTTATTTATGTTTCTTGTAATTTAGTGAATGCACTGGGCGAAGGAGTCCGGCCCACTTCAGACTACGATGATCGCGAGCAAAATTAATTTTATAAAATATACGTTGTTTACTTTAACACCATTATCGGATGGCAATCTGTATTTACGCTGATTCCAGAAATAACCTGTTACCATGAGTGGTATATTTCAAGTGCTTAGATAGGCCCACAATTTAGCTCAGCTGCTTCAATTTTAACACCTTAAAATTGACTATGTGAAGAAACATATAATACAATGATCAATATAGAAACTGTTGACCTATGGTGAAGTTGGCTTAGAATAGGTGTGATCGACTAATAGATATACTATTCTTCAAAATAAAACTAAAGAAAATATCCAAAATTATTTCGATATTCAGTGAATATAGATCATGTTTCTATTGACTGATAAAAATCAAGAGATCAATGGTAATAGTGTATAAATTATGTAACATTACATTTTTTGATGAATTCGTAGACCCCATTGAAAAGTGATTGAAATATAAGTAAATATATCATACTAATGAATGGGATTTCTAATAAAGAGTTGCAGTGACGCAATTGAACAAATCAATACCGATAACATATCTATATAGAATATACATGTATATACATATATATATATATATATATATATATATATATATATATATATATATATATATATATAGACATGTGTGCCAGTTCATATCGATCTTACTTTGTGCACACTGCTGACGAGAAAGGCAACTGACTGAACAGATTTCTGATTATTATCTGGGTTACGAGTGCTATTGCTATAGTCTTATGTCGTACTGCCTATCTTATCTCAAAGCAGAATGTGACTACGCAACAATGCGACGGCAATTAACTTTTATATAACTCAAATAACGGCATATGACAAAAATTACGAGTGCCCTACACCAAATCCTTATCATCAGAGACATCTGCTCTACGCAAGACTTACTGAAATAATTTGTAGACGAGAATAGGAAAATGGGACAAAGAATTGCTAAATTATAATTAAACATATTGATTCTTATATCTTATATCTTATATCTTATATCTTATATCTTATATCTTATATCTTATATCTTATATCTTATATCTTATATCTTATATCTTATATCTTATATCTTATATCTTATATCTTATATCTTATATCTTATATCTTATATCTTATATCTTATATCTTATATCTTATATCTTATATCTTATATCTTATATCTTATATCTTATATCTTATATCTTATATCTTATATCTTATATCTTATATCTTATATCTTATATCTTATATCTTATATCTTATATCTTATATCTTATATCTTATATCTTATATCTTATATCTTATATCTTATATCTTATATCTTATATCTTATATCTTATATCTTATATCTTATATCTTATATCTTATATCTTATATCTTATATCTTATATCTTATATCTTATATCTTATATCTTATATCTTATATCTTATATCTTATATCTTATATCTTATATCTTATATCTTATATCTTTTATCTTATATCTTATATCTTATATCTTATATCTTATATCTTATATCTTATATCTTATATCTTATATCTTATATCTTATATCTTATATCTTATATCTTATATCTTATATCTTATATCTTATATCTTATATCTTATATCTTATATCTTATATCTTATATCTTATATCTTATATCTTATATCTTATATCTTATATCTTATATCTTATATCTTATATCTTATATCTTATATCTTATATCTTATATCTTATATCTTATATCTTATATCTTATATCTTATATCTTATATCTTATATCTTATATCTTATATCTTATATCTTATATCTTATATCTTATATCTTATATCTTATATCTTATATCTTATATCTTATATCTTATATCTTATATCTTATATCTTATATCTTTTAACTTATATCTTATATCTTATATCTTATATCTTATATCTTATATCTTATATCTTATATCTTATATCTTATATCTTATATCTTGTATCATCCATACATTCATACATTCAGACATTCATACATCATATGTGAAAGACTTTGAATTTGTTTTATTATTTTTGTATCGCTCATTTTTATTGAGAACAGTTTGAAAATGAATTTGTTTTTATATAGCCAAAGCAGATGTTTTGCTTGTTTTTATTGTTTTTTTGTTGCTTTTGTATTTGTAAAACATTAACTTAAAAACTAAACGCTGCAAAATTGTTGTTGCTGTTGTTCCATTTCTTCTTCTTCGTCTTTATTTTGATTGTTATCAATTTTCATTTCGACCAACTTGAGAGTGTGTGTGTGTTTGTGTAGTTTAGCATTATATTGGACCACATACAGATACATATGCCTATATATACATATAAATATACGTATATATATGTTTATGTGTGTGTATATATGTATGTATATATATAGATTGTAAATATGTAAAAGTATGCAAAAACTTTATAAATAGTTTGCCGTGTATAAAAGATTGTTTTAATTTTCTTGTATATTAGATTGTTTTGTTGTATTTATTTATTTTTATAAATTGGAAAAATCTTTTGTAATCAAAATTGTTGTATTTGGCTTCGAAATTTTGGTCAGCTGCAGCTTTTAGTTCCTTCTTCTTGTCTTGGTCAAAATTGTTGTAAAATTGAATAAATATATAAATTTTTGTTTTACATTTTATTTGTGAGGCTACTAAAAAAATGTTGCTGGCTCTTTAAATTTGTTACTTTTATTTTTTATTTTTCTTTTGTTTTGATGGCAGTTTTAAATTGTAATTTAAAATTAGCAATAATAACATGTAAATTTGTCTCGTTTTTGTATTTTTTTTGTCTTTATTTTTGTTTTTGTTGTTGTTTTTGGAACAGCTCTAAATGAGATTCGTACTTGGCTAGCGTTGGAAAAGTTTTAGGCTTTTCTTCTCATTTTCATTTGACAAAACGGCTTTTTAGCATTCAGCATTATAATTAATTTTAAAAATTATCATAATTTCAATTAGATTTTAGGTTTTATATATATTATATTATATGTATATGTATATAATGCAAAAATCGCTCGTAATTTAAAGAAATCTTCTTAGGCGGTAGACTAAATTGTTGCTAAAGGTTTTTTGTTTTTGTTTGCTTTATATATTTATGTTGTATAAGAAGAAGCTACATTCAAAAATTGTCTTGTATCCAAAAATGTTTGCTGTTATTTTTAACTCTGTTTAACTTTCTTTTTCATTTCGGTGTAATTTGTTTTTTTTTTGTTTTTGTATAATATATGTTATATTATTTCTTAGGAAAAAACTTCGTTTTGGTGTTCTTTTTTCTGTTTTTGTTGTTGTTGTTGTTGTCTTTCCTTCTACATTAGACAAACGAGCGTCTATTAGTTGCCATATATATATATTATATATAGTGTATCGAGCCAATTAATCAATCAATAGCTCGTAGTGCACCGATCCAATTCTGTCCTTGCGATCATGCTTTATGTTGCGTGCCCAGGCTTTGCACTCCACATTGATGATAATTCCGCCTGGTCGAAGTCGAGTAGATATTAAGATATAGATACATATATATATATATATATATATATAGTTTACTTACTCTTGGGACGCTCAAAGTGAACTGCGACAAGTGGGCTCAGATAGCCCTCAGAGTTTTGATAGGGATAGAAATAACCGGGAAAGCCGCGTATCGGATAGTATTTGACGACGCCAATATTCTCCTGATCGGCAGGGTTCTCGCCCTCGCAGGAAACCCAAATCGTGTTTAGCTAAATTTGCATATAAAAGATATTTATTTAATATAATTTTTGAAATATTTATAATGCTATTACTTAATTATTATTATTGCTATGCAAGAGATGATCATAAATATCAATCAATTATTATATCAATCAATTAATAATTTGTAATTTGTGTTCTTCATTCTCCTTTCTAATATAGAATTCAATTCTGATTCCTACCTTGATCGGATCGGTCTTCTCTAATTCAGATATATAGGTCTTCAGAGTGCTGGGCATCTCTTTGGGCAAGTTCTGCGAGCTGTTGTAGAACTCGGGCCTCCAGTCGTAGATCTTGTTCAGCTTGAGGAAAATGCATGGCGAACTCTTGTGGTAACTGTAGTTGTTCTCCTTGGTGCAGGGTGCCCAGGTCTTGATGTCCACATCGCACACCTGACCTCTCGGTGGGGGCTGGTTGTAGTCGCAGTTGTAGATGTTCTGACCACGTCCCGGTGTCAAGCCGGGCACCTTGTACACTGAGCGAAAAATAGAAAGTATCAAGTGAGCATAGGAATTTACAAAGTGATAAATTATCGAAATATGAGAAAGAAATTATTATAATAGGAAACCGTTTCATGATATCTTAAAAAAAATTGTTACACCTCATTAAAGTTTGCCTTTAATCTTAAGACTTAGTTCTTGATCTAACAGCCTCTATAACCGAACCGTTTGGTGTGAATTTTTATCGCTCATCTTTAATCTTTGGATCTTAACTTCTTAACTGACCTTAGATATTGCCTAATTTTAGATAGTTAGGGATATGGTAGACATAATACCATATCCCTGACCTAAGTGTATGCCATCATCTAGCTATTTGTTCGATATGTTCTTAGCATAGTAACGACCCCAATTTCTATACCACAAACTAAGGAAAACCCCTAAGCATAAACCATGTGCTTGTTGTCTCGGTAAAAAGTCGATATTCTTTTTATTTTTTTATTTTTTTATTTTAATTAAAATAAATGCTAAACAAGTTGCGTGTTGTCAACCACCTCATTCAAAAGTACCCTAGCAACAGCAATAAGAAAGCAGTTCATGGCCATTTGTAACATTAACTGGCAACATGCGAGACCTATTTAACAACGTATAGAGCCTTACCTGCCAGGAATTCATCAAGAGAGTCCGTCCAATGTTTATAGTTCTCAGGCAGAGTGCCCTTGTACCAGATCAAAGTGCTCTCCACGTTGTCAACGGGCGGCAGTGGACGAAAGCCGAGACCTGATTAAAATAGTCAAATATATCAGATAAATGATATATATATATATATACATATATGTATTGCACTTACCTGGATTTGTGCCAATAATGGAGCTCTCCAATTTCCATTTGGGTATGCGTGGGTCCAGAGTTAGAAAGAAGGCCCACATGCATATGGCCACCAATGCGGCGAGCACGCCATAGAAAATTATATAGAATATGCCGATCTTAGCTATATGATAACGAGAAAAAGAGAGTGAGATACATAATTAGTTAATCATATTAAAGCAAATCGAATTAGAGTCATATAAAAATTAAATTAAAGATTGATTCATAAAGACACAAGAAATGTCGCCCCTTCAATTGAGCTGATTAAATTAGGCACTTAACAACGCGCGACTCAACTGAACCAAAAGGCGACAATGGGTTAGACTCTTAATTGATAAAGCGCGGAGTCTGAGCGCCAACTCTTTAAACTGAGCAATTCGTAACAAGTGATCGGTATAAGAACGCACTGCTGCTGGCAGCACTTAACCAGAGACTGCCTCAGCGCTGTGAATCATAAACAATATAAGATCCAAGTCCAAGTATAAGACACGTAAGCGAAGATTTCAAGAGCGCGTAATCGATTGGGCAAGTGCCGAGAGCTCTCTCTGTCTCTCTCTTCACTGATCTTGCGCTCACGCACACATTGATACGGCGCGTCGTGCACATAACCTCAAATTGACCAATATCTTAGCTCAGAGGGAGAGACTGGAAGTGGCTGTGAGAGTGAAGTTTGTGTTTGGCATTGAGTGAGATTGTATAAGAGTAGAAGAGGTAAGTTGTTTGTGGAAAGAGAGGCTTAAGTTTGTTTTGAGTAGATAAATATATATATAAAAATAAAGTAAAAAAATAAAAATAAATTGTAATTATTATTAAATATATTTTTAAAATAATAAATAAATAACTTATAAGTAAACAAATGATATATTCTATATTATAATATAAATAAAGTATATATATAAAACAAAAATTATATACATATATTAAATAATTAAAAAGAATTATTCCAAGTAAAGTATATGTAAAAAGAAAAATTGTAGCTTTTTAAACTAAATTAAATTAAAATGTGTTCAATTGAAAATGGATCAATTATGTATAAAAGTAAGCTAAATAATAAATAATATAAATATAAATTTAATATAATATAATTTGTTACATAACCATTTCTATTATATAATAATATCATATGTATGTAAGACATAATGCCAATATTATATATCTTTAAACTATTAAACTATAATTTTAATCCACAATAAGCATTTAATTATTTTGTAATGCATTTTGACTTGATTAAAGAAAGCATTTCCCTTATAACATTCAGTAATTCATAGACTTAATATGCACATGCACACATATGATTTATATGATATCATCTATCTGTTACGTCATAATTTTACTGCCTTTTCTACATCCTTTCTCATGCAATTTTCACACTGTTTGCTGAAATTTGACATTTGAAGCTGCTAATTTGGTTATTGGCCTGAGAATTATGTTTGATGGTTATCTCAGCCGGATTTGTCAGTCAGACATTTACCGTCATGTTATTTTAGCACCTGTCCAATGAATATGTAACACAACTATGCTACATCTAACATGTTGAAAGTATGTCAGAGCTGGCGCCAGGTGGCAACGCCGACAAGGCAGGTGTAAAATTAACGACATATAATTACAATTTTTTGCAATCATAAAAAATGTAAGGAAAGAAAAAATAACTTTATTTTTCGCGTGTACCATAAACTAGCCGAATGATTTATTCATGGGGTATACCTATTTAAATAGGTATTTTACTAGCTGAAAGTCACGTCCTGTCATAGATTTAAAGTGATCATATATTTAAGTTAATAAGTAATCTAAGAAATCAATTAATTAATCAGCTGGAAGTTCCATTCATTTCCAATTCGATGAATATATATCTGTATATATATATAAAGCTCCCGCATTACTTACCCCATGAGGCGCGATCTCTGCCCATAACCGTGCCCTTTTCGGAATTATATAGAAATTTTCCGAAATGGAACGGTTCGGGCTTACGTAGATTTTGCATGTCATCGTACGTCTCCGAATGTGGCATTGGAACGGGTTTCGACATTTTGGTGGGTTTTTAAATTTATTTGTGATTTTTTTAACTTTTAAATTTATTGTTACTTCAAAAATGAAGTAAAGTTACGTCAATAAATAATTAAATATAAATATATAGCAAGTTTTTAAGTTAATGAACTATAAATTACGTTGAACCTGGAGAATTTTTCCAATTTTAGAATTATTGGAATTATTATAGAATTGCTTAATATTTGTATAAGTTAGAAAGGCACTCTCTTTATTTATATTTCTATTTATTGTTAATATTTGTTTTTATTTCAATTATTTTTATTTCTTTACTGTATATATATATTTTTATTAAATTTAATTAATTAAAATATTTAAAAACCATAATTATTTATTAATTTTTAACAGATATTTTTTAGTTTATATATTTTTTTAATTTCGTATTTATACTCTATATAGATATATATATTTTTTTAGATTTTAGTAATTATTTTGATGTTTTTGCATGATTAAATTTCGTTTAAAAATTTTGTATTCTTATTGATTTATTTTTTATGATTTTCACACAGATTTTCTAGTTAGTTTTCCGCTGTTTGTATACACACATTTTGATGATTTACTCATAACCTTTTTTTCGGCTCTTTTTCACATACTTTACAACTTTTCTACACTTATTCGCATTTTTCCACACGCTCTCTCGGTCTCCCCACTCTCTTGCTCTCGCTCTCGCTCTCTGTTTTGTTTTGCTTCCCCATTAAGTTCTGTACACTCGTTCCCGAAACTTTCGGCAGCAGCAGCAACAACAACAAATGCAAACTTTGGCGCCTTTTTGTCCTGGCCATAATATCTACCCCTGAATATTCGTGTCAGCCCTTAGCACATTTTCCAATGCGAGTTCAAAAGCCGCAGCGCCGCTTGGCTGTCGGCAGCTACCTACGCGTATCTGTCAGATACAACTGCCAAGTATCTTCTAGCTTGGCCTTAACTGAGTGCAACAGATAAACCAGAGACAGAGAGTGGGAGAGGGAGAGGGAGAGAGGGGAAGGGAGGTAAGCAGGCCTAAAAGAAGAAAAACTAAAGGCCGTCTGACTGTCTGACTGTCTGGTTGACTGACTGTCGCCTGCCGTGTCGCGTATTATGTATCTTCTTTGCTTTCCAATGACGCCTAGGCCTTGACCATCAGATACATTTGTATCTTTATTCTTTTTGCCCATATTGCTTGGTGTTTATGTTATTTTGCCTATGCATAATTGCTTTTAATGCAAAACAAAATGCGACTCGCACACCAACTCACAGATACACACACACACATGTGCTTGTATTTGAATTTTGTATCTCTTAGCTGTTGTCTTGAGTTTGAGTTTTTTGAGTGGTTTCGCTCTTAAAGCCGTCGACACAACCACACCTTATTGTAGCAGCTACTTTAATAACTGCGTTAAATGCGTGCCTATGACTCTGTGTATGTGTGTGTGCGTGTGTGTGTTGGTGTGTGTGCCTTTTGGGCGTGACAAAACGAGCTGCAGCTGAATGAAACATATTCTTAAAAATAGAAGTAATTTTCAATTAGAGTCAGAAAAAGAGCGAAACACAACAATAACAAACTTCAAACACACACACTCACACACTCGCACACTCGTGCACACAGCCATTTGTACAACACCTTCTTTCCAGGCAGTTGAAGACAACACAACACAAATATCGTACACGTTTTATGACACGCACACAACCAGGCTCAGAATGCAGCTCGAAGCAATGCTTCGACTTCTTCTCAGCTTCCGCTGAGATTATTTACTTTTCGTTTTATTTATATATTTTATTTATTTTATATTTTATAAGTTTCCCCGCTTGGCTTTCGACCGGTGCCCGCTAACGGAACGTTTCGTCGACGCTCAAAACAAATTCCAGACTGAAAACTGAAACTGAAGTCTGGCCATAGAGCAGCCCGCCAAACAGCTCAGCGCACAGACTTGGCTTGGCCTCTGAGTTCCGTTTTGTTCGCGTCGAGTTGAGTTAAGTTCGTTGCGGCTGGAACGCAACAGACAGCGCCTCTGCCGCGCGCTCTTCCGTTCTCTCTCTCACCACTCGCTCTCCGCGCTCTCTTGAGTCGAATCTGCTTCGCTTTCGTTGAGTTTGTTTTGAGTGCAAAACGTTTTTTGGCGGCATTTACATTTTCGAGTGTGTTTTGGGTTTGGGCCGTGCCCAGCCTTGTAATTGATGTTGCATGGTTGTTGTTGTTGCTGCTGCTGCTGCGGTTGTTGTTGTCGTTGCAGTTGTTTTAATTAGGCGCATGCAACGTAAATTATGGTTGTTTAGCCGCTGCAGATGCCGTTGTACATTTTGCGCAAATTGTCGAGCGCCGAGTGAGTGCTACACTGAGCGAAATTAAAATATTGCTTACGCTCATCGAGCTCCATTTAAGAATTGTGCTACTTGGGTATGATTCATAGGGAGCTAGGCATGATTCATCAGCTGCAACAGCTTTGCATTAGCATTTCCAATTTATTTATTAAATGTGGTTTTCCATTTCATCGAAATGAAAGTTCCCAGTGTGTGTGTGTGAACAAACTTCACTAAATTCTTTCGAGTGTAAACAAATAATTGACTCAGTTTCTTAGCAAGGAATTTCATATTAGCGTGTATAAGATGCCAGTTTCTTAGTATAAGAGTGGACTGTGCTAAGCTATATACCTATATATACTATACTATCGATTTGCACTGTCTAATTTCTTACAGTGCATATGCATATATTTTATGCACTTAAATGCTGTCGTTTCGTGTCCAAGTTCTAAATACATTAGTCAAATGCAAATGCACCGTTAACTGCAGCCTGCAGTAGTCGCATTGTTTACAATTATTGTTGTTGCAGTAGCAGCAGCAGCAGCAGCTGTTGCATGCCTTGTGGCCCTGATGCCAATTTGCAGAGCCCCTCATCAAATGCACTCAAATCAATTGAGTGCTTTAATCTTAACTCTTATACGCACACTCTTATACACACACAAGCACTTGCGCTGTCTGTCTCTCTCACTATTGTTGTTGTTGGCTAATAACCGTTAACATTGCATGATCGCTGCTTACACTTGTATTTATACAGTGAGGGCAGCCCTAACAGCATCATCTTTCATGCTATTAGCTTAATACTTAATGGGAAGGAACTTTCAAGGTATAAGAGACAAGCAATGTCCTTGGCTAGACCAATCACAGCTGGAGTCTGACAAGGTTGTACCCAACATTTTACACTTTGTTTATGGGAACAGCCAATGGAACCCTTATAGAGACCTATGCAGATGACATCGCCATCCTATCGCTTGGATGGATTTTAAGATATAAATACTGTCGGTCGGGCTCACTCACTAGTTAAGGTTTAGAGCTAAAGGCAGTATAGAGTTAGAGTTCATAAAAAACTTTACTTATACTAGCAAGGGTTTTGAGTATCGTTGAGTCAGTTTGAAGCGACTCGGAAGAGAGAGAGAGAGAGAGCGGGAGAGGGAGATACCGAATGAGTGACCGCATTAACCAGTTTGCCTAAAACTCCATTCAGCTCTGTTGCTTTCCAGTGCCGCTTGCCGCTTGCCGCTTACCACTTGCCACTAGGGGTTGTTGGCACTTGGCTAAGGGTTGTTTTTCTCGTAAAATGCGGCTTTTACTACGCATTGACTCCTTTTTTTTTGTTGTATTTTGTATTTTTTTTTTGCAAAGGCGGCAAATATTTGCGTATGGTATATGAGTGGGGCTATGGCAGGAAGACAAAAATGAGGTTGAGTGCGTAAGAGTGTGTGTGTGCGTGTGCGTGTGGAATGTGTGACAAGCTCCAGATTTGAATATTCCCATACATGCTATAAATTGTTGTTTTTCTGCTCTATTTTTATAAAATATTTAAGAGCTCGCGTCGAGGCTAGGAGCAGAATGACGTGTTCCAATTAGCAAGTACTCAAACCACAATATCGTGTACATGCCGGCTCTACTTAGCGAGGACACAGCGACAGCGGGAGAGACAGAGAGTGAGAGAGAGAGCGAGTGGAATGGTTGGGGTGGTAGGTGTACCGACTATTGTCTGCTGTATTGAATAGGGGATTCGCTGTTGGCTCTGACTGACAGCCATCCATTTGGCATAATGGATAGCGTTTCCCTGAGTGACACCCAAGTGGCCTATGGCTCAGGGCCCACTGCCCATGGCTAAAACACTAAACGTTTTCCTTGAATGGAGAAAACAGCTTTTTGCATTGTTGCAGCCTGTTGCTATAATGTGTCCAAGCTGTCCATCAGATATCTGAGCTACAAACAATGCGATTCTATTTCACAATCTCTTAATGCACTTGATTCAACATACATCGAAGTAATTGTTTAATATTTCAATAGATACTATTTATACACATTTATGGATGGCTTGTAACTGTAGCCCATGCATAAGTTAAGCAGCTTATAAGAAGAATGTGGAATGTATCTTAAAGATAACTCTATTTGTCTAGCATAGCTGCAATACTTCGACTCGAGTTTTTGATTCAAATTTATTTATAATAATTTAAAATTAAATTTTAAATTTTAAATTAAAATTATTATTTGTATCTTTGGTAATATTATTAACAATTAAAGAGCACAGACTCCATGGACTTCTTTGCTTAATTCTAAGCATTTCGATTGGGTATCCAGGGAAAAATATTTGTGGATAACAAAAAATTATCTTGCAAAATCTATTCATCATATAGGATTTTCAATTTTAATAATTTAATAATAATAATAATATTTAGAATTCAATATTAAATATTCTTCACAACATATATGGAAAAACATATAATAATTTAATGTAAAAATAATAAAAAAAAATAAATAAAAGTAAAAGCAGAAGTATATTTTAATTATTGATTGATTGGCTGATTATAAAAATAATCGAGGTTTACTACTGTTATATATGATATTTCTAGCTCCTAATTAAAATTCTTTTTTACTGTTTTATTCTCCTAGACTATTTTGCTTATTTCTAACAATTTATTTTAACTTTAAAATATATTGAATAATGGAAGATGAAATTATGTACTTTAAAATTTAATTAATTATATAATATTATTTAATATTATTAATTTATATTATTATTCAATTAAAATGCACACATTTTTTGAGTACTAAAAAATTTTATATTTATAAAGAAAAATTAAATAATTTAATTTAGAATTTTGTTTTATTTTATTTTGAAATTAAATTATTTTCTCATTTATTTGCTCAAGTTTATTTATTCAATTTTTATTTATTTCTTTTTTGCTTTAATTTTTTTTGCAATTGCATTATTAATTTTGCCTAATTGTTATTTGATTTAAATTGAGATTTAATTTTGCGCAAATGTAATTTTAAATTTGTAGTCAATGTCATCAGCAAAAAACCGAATTTTTCCTATGCCTCAGCTATGAGTTGCTGCGGCTGCTGCTGTGGCAGTTCCATGGTGCATGCTGTGATTGCATAATGACATAATTGACCGGCATATTGGTCGAGTGTACCCTATGTTACACACAGACACACATGTATGTGTGTGTGTCCGCCAAAGGTCAAAGAGAACAAACACAGATGAGAGCAGAAGTGAAAAGTGCCAAAGCAATAAAAACGAGCCGCAGTCACTGCCTGCGATACTCATACTAAAAGCATAAATACACACACACATACACACACATATACGTATGTGTGTGTCGCGCTAATGCGGCGACAAAAGACTTTGATTAAATCCACAACTGGCACAGCTTGACATTTATCAAGATTTACGCGCAGCGCGCTTTACGTAACTGCAAAAATCCAGAAAAATTCTGGAGCACTGCAGGACGAGTGCACTTACCCCAGCTCTCGATAGTCCTGCCGAAATACGAGCTATCCTCGTCGTCGTAGATCATCTGCTTGAAGGACTTCTTCTTGGGCATCTCCGGCGGCCGCGAGTAATACTGTTGAAAGCCATCGATGCAGTCCTCGGTTATAGTTGGCATTTTCCTGCGCTTTGCCACGACGGAATATCCTTATCGCGTCTGAGTGCGTGATGATTTGTATATCCTATATATATAGCTGTGTGTATATATGTATATATATATATTCCTTTGGCTGTTGCTCTCGGCTGGGGCACGCGCTCGCACGGCAACTGATCGACACTTCCCGTTCTAGAAATTGAACTCAACTGAGTCGACAGCTCGTGCCATAAGCCAATCCAATCCAATCCAAGTCCAAAAAACTCGCAGAGCTGCGTCGTCGACGTCTGCGTTTCAAGTCGCAGGCGTTGATCATCATCAGCATATCATCATCATCATAATCATCGCCATCGCCATGATCATTATTATCCCAAAGCACGATCATCGTGTTGCTCACTGAATAAAGTATATTCTTGTCTCTCGCTTTGACACACTGGCTGCAGGGCGCGGGGACGTTTCGACAGCGCAGACAGATTTTCTTCTGCTGGCGTCGACGTTGGCGTCGCCGTTGCCGTTGATGTTGGCGTCGCTGCCAACTTCTCATATGCAAAATTGTGCGACGTGTTGAAAGCAACAACAGCAACAGCAACAGCAACAACAAGTGTCGGTCTTAATCAAGATACATTCAGATTTACATTTGCATTTAGATCATTCACAGTTTTCAGTGATATAATATACATATATATAATGATATATATATATACATATATATAATATATATATAAGAGAAGATTTAAATTACACTTTTTAAGCATATATTCATAATATTAAATTATCAAAATATATTTCCCAATCGC